CGACCTTTTGGCTACACAATTTAAGAATTCAAACTCGGAATTTAAAGTTCGATCCAATAAATAATTGAATCAAGAAACCAAGACAATTACAAAAATATCTCGATCCCGTGATTACAAAATCTACGAACCTCACTTAGATTGTTGAATGCCACAAAAATTATTCATCTTTGATAAGTTCGATAAATTTGTCAATGAAGAACAAAGAAGAAAGTAAAATGCCTCCCAATTTAATTTCATAATATCTTTTTTAGTTTACAATGAAAGAAATAACGCATATTTATACTTAAACCATAAGACCTAGTTTAACATGGAAATAACTTTAAAAGATTATAGTGATATAATAAAATCTTAATTAAAACGAAATTAACTTGAAAATAGTACAAAAGACATGTTATTAATAGAATCCAAATTGAATAAGCAAACTCACGAAATTTCAAAAATTCTGCCCTAGATTATTTCTATGCGGTTTCTCCTTCCAACACACTTCAATTCTTGAATAATCAGCACCCCCTTGGATCACATCAGACCCTCTCTCTTCAAGAAGATCCACCCTCGAATCCTGACATTGGAATTGAATCCCTTTTTTCTTCGGGAACATTCTTCAACTTTCTCTTTTTTTCACTAAATGCTTTCGCTCAAGTACTTCAAAGAACAAATTCGAACTCAACCTGAAGTTATTCTCAAAGAATTTAAACCAAGTGAGATTTTGTAATTTGGAAGACTCAAGATTGGATTGTAGAATGTTGGTAATTTTTCGAGATAATTTATTTTTTTTAATTCTTGGCTTGGACCTTTTTCAAAAAAAAAAAAAAAGATTTTGGGTAATTTTTTCGAAATTTTCTTTTTTGACTCGGAATTCAACTACGACACGGACAAAAAGAAATGGAAGTTGATTTGAACGCAAATTGAGCACAAAAACAACTTTTTGATTTTTTTACGGAAAATCACGGATCAAAAGACTCTAAAACGAAGAACACGAAGAATGCGGAAATAAACGAAACAAAGACTCAAACAAAAAAAGATATAACTTGATTTGTTGGAATCGAACTCTGATACCGAATAATGTGAACACGCGTAGCAACGAAGGTTACGAAATCCACATGATATTGAAATCCGACTCAAGAAAATCCAAACAAACAAAGTTTATGGATTTTGATCAAAAAACAATGAACCAAACGACCGACACAATCACAAACAGATATGACGACCTTTTGGCTACCCAATTTAAGAATTCAAACTAGGAATTTAAAGTTCGATCCAATAAATAATTGAATCAAGAAACCAAGACAATTACAAGAACATTTTGGCCCCGTGATTACAAAATCTACGAACCTCACTTAGATTGTTGAACGCCACAAAGATTATTCATCTTTGATAAGTTCGATAAATTTGTCCATGAAGAACAAGGAAGAAAGCACAACGCCTCTCAATTTAATTTCATAATGTCTTTCTTAATTTACAATGAAAGAAATAACACATATTTATACTAAAACCATAAGAACTAGTTTAAAATTAAAATAACTCAAAAATATTAAAATGATATAATAAAATTCTAATTAAAACTAAATTACCTTGAAAAGATTACAAAAGATATGTTATAGATAGAATCNTTACTAAATACCCGAAAATTTCTGGAACCGAAAAAAACCGAACCGACCCGCGCCCACCGCATATTTATGCTAAAACCCTAAGACCTAGTTTAACATGGAAATAACTTTAAAAGATTATAGTGATATAATAAAATCTTAATTAAAACGAAATTAACTTGAAAATAGTACAAAAGACATGTTATTAATAGAATCCAAATTGAATAAGCAAACTCACGAAATTTCAAAAATTCTGCCCTAGATTATTTCTATGCGGTTTCTCCTTCCAACACACTTCAATTCTTGAATAATCAGCACCCCCTTGGATCACATCAGACCCTCTCTCTTCAAGAAGATCCACCCTCGAATCCTGACATTGGAATTGAATCCCTTTTTTCTTCGGGAACATTCTTCAACTTTCTCTTTTTTTCACTAAATGCTTTCGCTCAAGTACTTCAAAGAACAAATTCGAACTCAACCTGAAGTTATTCTCAAAGAATTTAAACCAAGTGAGATTTTGTAATTTGGAAGACTCAAGATTGGATTGTAGAATGTTGGTAATTTTTCGAGATAATTTATTTTTTTTAATTCTTGGCTTGGACCTTTTTCAAAAAAAAAAAAAAAGATTTTGGGTAATTTTTTCGAAATTTTCTTTTTTGACTCGGAATTCAACTACGACACGGACAAAAAGAAATGGAAGTTGATTTGAACGCAAATTGAGCACAAAAACAACTTTTTGATTTTTTTACGGAAAATCACGGATCAAAAGACTCTAAAACGAAGAACACGAAGAATGCGGAAATAAACGAAACAAAGACTCAAACAAAAAAAGATATAACTTGATTTGTTGGAATCGAACTCTGATACCGAATAATGTGAACACGCGTAGCAACGAAGGTTACGAAATCCACATGATATTGAAATCCGACTCAAGAAAATCCAAACAAACAAAGTTTATGGATTTTGATCAAAAAACAATGAACCAAACGACCGACACAATCACAAACAGATATGACGACCTTTTGGCTACCCAATTTAAGAATTCAAACTAGGAATTTAAAGTTCGATCCAATAAATAATTGAATCAAGAAACCAAGACAATTACAAGAACATTTTGACCCCGTGATTACAAAATCTACGAACCTCACTTAGATTGTTGAACGCCACAAAGATTATTCATCTTTGATAAGTTCGATAAATTTGTCCATGAAGAACAAGGAAGAAAGCACAACGCCTCTCAATTTAATTTCATAATGTCTTTCTTAATTTACAATGAAAGAAATAACACATATTTATACTAAAACCCTAAGACCTAGTTTAACATGGAAATAACTCTAAAAGATTACAATGATAAAATGAAATCTTAATTAAAACGAAATTAACTTGAAAAGATTACAAAAGATATGTTATAAATAGAATCCTAACTGAATAAAGAAACTCACGAAATTTCAAAAATTCTACCTCGGATGATTTCTATACGGTTTCTTCTTCCTACACACTTCAATTCTTGAATAATCGACACCCCCCTTGGATCACATCAGACCCTCTCTCTCCAAGAAAATTCGCCCTCGAATCTTGACATTGGAATTGAATCCGTTTTTTCTTCTGGAACATTCTTCAACTCTCTCTTTTTTTCACTCAATGCTTTCGCCCAAGTAATTCAAGAACAAATTCGAACTCAACTAGGAGTTATTCTCATAGAACTCAAACCAAGTGAGATTTTGTAATTTGGAAGACTCAAGATTGGATTGTAGAATGCCAGTAATTTTTCGACTTAATTTTTTTTTATATTTTTTTAATTCTCGGCCATTCTCATCCCCATCTCGTCGGGTATTTTTATACAACAACATTTTTTGAATGTTATTAATAACCTTTTGTAACGTTTTTTGACCGTTGACATCTGATTTTTTTTTGGGCACTGCTTAGACATTAAGAGCTTATTCATTAAAAATGGAATAAAATTTTGGCACTGCTTAGACATTAAGAGCTTATTACCACACTTGCAACACCAAACTTCTGGATAATACTCTAATAGCATACTCAATCCTGCCATGTATGCATTCTTCGATTTGCTCGCCACAAAAATCACGATTGACAACAAAGCTGCAAGAGAAGCATTGAATCAATAAAATGCATTGTTCAAAACAAAAGCGAAAACGAAATAAGAATAGAAAATAGTGTAGTGTGATCTCCCACATATACTTCTGCTAAAATGTTCCAAACCATGAGCAATTGCTTTAGAGCCCTGCTACCAATTCAGAATGGGGCTTCACAGAAGCCCCACAGATCACACACATAGGGAGGCGGGAAAATTTTGAACCAATTTTTAATCACGTGGTCCACGCATCGGGACCCACCTCATGTGAGGGTCGGTAAACCTTATGTGAACCGACCCTCCGTACATATAGATTAATCTTGCTTTAACCCTTATCTGATACTTTCCTATCTCCATTGTGGCCGTAAAGAACATAACATATAAATAAAACACAAAAACAACCTTCAAGACAAAGTACCTTCAAGACATCACAATGCTACTAAATCTCGTATTTAAAGGCACTTTTGAAGCTTGTATATAAACTACGTGAAATGCTAGACAAAATCAAAAGATTTAAAACAAACCAAGCCGGGAAAAATAATTTGACTTCCGAATGACAAGCAGGAAAAATGACATCAATCAAACAAAAAAAAAAAAAAA